ACTCCCGCTTCGTGCTGGGGCCGGGCGGGTCGCCAGGGCGGGATCGCGCCGCCCCTGCCCGCCCTGAGGTGCGGGAGCGGGCCCGAGGCTCTCCGTGAGAGCCTTACAGGCCGCAACAAAACAGAAATGCTTTTATACATGAAAACAAGGCCTTCTGATCCAGATGAGAGATACATTAACAACTGACATCATGTGGCTTAGAATAAACTTATGCAGCAAATTCCAAACTTAATACTTAAGGCGCAAGGAGGAGCTTGTCTATTTAAGGTACAACTTGGAGGTCAAATGCAAAATCATTTCCCGTTCGTTATAATTAACTGGACTGTTCACTCTCTTAACAGTAAGGGCAGGTTAAACTCACCATAGCTAAACCACACTGTTTTACTCGGTAGCCATAGGCTGCAGGAGAAAAGCGCATGAGAGACCCGGTGCCGTCAGTGATCGATCAGCGGGATACTGGGAATGAAAACACCTTTGTATAATTGCACTTTGACGGAAGAAACCAGGGCTGCAGCACAGCGAGACTCAGTTTCTAGGAACTATGGAGCCCACCTGATCCCCAAAAGCCACCTCCAGCACAGAGCAGAGCAGCACTATGGATGACCTAAGCCTCATTGGCTGGTAAAGTTTCCAAGATGCTAACGCCACCTTGAAATTGCTGGGATTTAAGAATGGCCAGACTATGCCCTTCCTCCGTTTGGTCCAGAGAGCCAATACACAGCCCCTGTATGCCAGACTCCCTACGGCGACAGCAATCCTCTCCAGGCGTGGGAGTTTTTCTCAGCCTGAAATGGCTTACAATAGAGCAGTGCCCCGTGACAAGGTTCTTCTTGCTGTGGGTTGCAGTCTCTCTCCCCATAGAGAACATGACTGAATTCAGTTGGATTTGGCTTGCGTTTCATTACTTAGCTATGTAGGTCAATGAACACTGCCCCACAAAAGCAGCAACAAGCCCATGCATAAACATTTGAAGGATGAGGATCTCATTTTATTGGTACAACTGTACATGTTTAAACTGATGCGCGTAATACTAGTAGATCAGTCAACCATTAATAGAATAAAAAAACAAATAGATAAATTTAAAAATATTTTTCAAATGAAGCTGAAGAAGGTGACATACATTCTGCAGTATCACTGAGGCTAGGAAGCCAGCAATCATATATGAGAGCAGGGTCAGCTGAATCTTCTCTAAGGGACAAAATACCTAGAAAAATTCAGATTTGGTTGTCAGTGTTTGAAAAATGAGGTCTTAAAAAAACACAGTAAGGGCAAATGCTGTATATACCAGGACAAGCAACTGCATGTGTGAATTTGGTCAGCGTATGCAAGTTTTTCAAGCAGGACAGGTACTTGGATAGATACTTTAGTCACAGTGTCCATTGGCTTCAAAAGAAGCAGAGAAAGTATTTTTTTTAACATTGGAGAAAGTTAAGAATTACTTGAATAATTTTGTAAGTCAGTGGGGAAATGCTTTTGTGATTGAAGAATTTAGCCACAACAGTTAATAGGACTAGTTTTGTAATATGTGCATAAATGTGTTTCTTTCCTGAAACATGAAAGTGATGGGGTTTCAATCCGAAGTTTGCTGAAAAGCTTTCTTTTCCACTGCAGGGTCATCTTTTGATTATTGGGTTAGAAGAAGATTAGAATTTTAAGTAACTTATCTATATAGTTACTAATCTATATAATGCAAAAAAACCACAAATGCTTTTGTCTAATCTCAGTCAATTCATACTGGTAATTATGGGTTTAAAATTAAAGCTCTATATGCATATGACTAGAGTTAGGATAAATTCACAAGACCTCATAGAATAAAACAAAAAAAAACCCCCAAACCTGCTGAAGAGTCCTCTGCCCCTACACACTCATAGGAAAAATATATAGACTTCTACCACCCAATCCACTGAGAGGAGGAAATGGAGACATGAGTGAAAAATACTGTCATATGAGTGGGCATTTAAGTATCTTTGACTTTACAAGAATCCTGGGAATATACTTCACTTTTTCAATCTATTATCTTTCCAGAAAACACCACAAAAATCAAATGTTTCTTGGGTAGAACAACAGAAATAGTATTTTCTATTCTTGTTGCTATTGCTTCAGTAATAGCTGAGTAACAGTCTGTGTCTCTACTTTCTGTGAATTTACTTGAAAATAGACAAAATACAAATTAAATTATAATAACCATGTAGTCATATGCCCTGTGTGAAGTACAGCAAGAATTACAGATGGGAGATGTCAAAAAGAATGGGAAAAATCCTAGCCTTTCCCATCAGTAGAGATTGCTTGAAAAATCTACATTAGTAGCATTTCTACTGAACTGATGTCTGTTAATATTTGGAAGAAGGAATGAAACAATAAAAGGCTCTAGGAAACAGAACAAATTATATAGTAAGTGGTCCTTATCTTTCAAAGGATTTTTCTCTTTTGGAGAATACTGACCTCCTCTAAGTGGAAAAGTATCTCTTGCTTCAGCAAGAATTGAATCAGGTCTTAAGAAATTATTGTAGGAAACAGAGTTGCTTAGGTAGAATCTTAGGTGGACAGAAAAGACTGTATGGTAGTTTGTTTTTTTTTTTTTCAATTTTTAATACATTATTTACTCTGGTGATCTGATCCAACTTAATTATCCATGCCTCTAATCCTGCCAACTAGATACTGCATGTTTCTTATTTTGTACATTTTAAAGCATTGCATAGTATTGCTTCCTTAGGCAGTCACTTTGTTCACCCCTGATACAGATGCATTTAGATGGCAAGTCTGTCTACAAAATAGTTTCAGCACAGACACTGGAAAAACAAGAGCTTTTCTTCTGTGTCGAAGTTGCTAGGGGATTTTTTTTAACAGGTAAAAAGTTGAAAAGTACTTGGAAATACTGAGTTGCTGTACTATGCCAGTATGATAGCCTAAAGGTAACAAGTGAAAAAGAATTGTCCAGACCTTCTGGCTGTGATGAAGGAGATGACAGGATGTACGGTGTGAAAGGCTGGCAAGAAATACTTCAGGGCAGTTACTTGCAGAACTGGACAAGTTTCTGGAAATAGGAATGTAGGATGTTGATTTAGTATTATCAAATGATTCTGAATAGACTTACTTTTGTGATACTACGTCTTCGGAAGTATGTGCATTGCATGTTGTAATTTTAAGGCTCAAATACACACAAACACTTCTTCCACCACAGCACAGTGCTCAGAAAGGCTTAGATTTAAGGACTGCATCAATTGTCTTTGTGAAGAAAAATTAACTGACAGCTTGAGTCTTGAATTCCTGTGAAATGGTAGTTCTCAGTTTCATACAGTGAAGCTAGCTGATTAATTACAGCTACTACTAATCTTACAGAGTACAAAGAGTCTGAAAAAATGCAAGCCAGGCTATCCTCAGAGTATTGCAAAGCATCCAGAATCCCAGTGCATCCTTGGCACAATCTCTTAGCAAAAGAGCACATTTGTGAATTTAAAGCTAAGAATGCCTCGAAGACTTCCAAAATGCTAAAATACCTCTAGCTTGGCCTTGAGGCATTGGGAACTCTGACCTGACCTAAAGCAAACTGGCATGAAATTGAAGTGCAGCTTTCATGAATATATCCTTTCACCTAATTCCAATTCTGGTCCTAGAAACAACTGATACGATCACAATTTCTCCCCCACTCTCTCTCCCCAACCTCTCCAGATTCTAGTACTTTGACAGATTAATTTTTAATGTAATTCATTTGTAAGTATCCTCATTTTATATCTTTTTTTCGTGATTAAAAAAAAAAAGCAACCATAGAACTATTTGTGAGCAACACAACAATTTGGCACAGGTAGTGCAAAGTTCAGTTCTGCCTTGTCAGAGCAGTCTGTGAAGAGTTCTGTAGATATCTAAGCAGTTTTTCATGGCACTGGGTTTCTCCATGACTTCTCTATCTTTTGTCTACATGTTAGCCCTTAGTGTCATATGGTCATCCAATAATTTTTTGTAATTACCTTTTCATTATGAGGAGCCAAATCATATTATTTTTCTTTTGCAAGTCACACTGAAGTCAGTGGTACTAGTTGCATTAAAAAAGCTATTATGATTTTGACCTTTTAAAGATAATCTTCTAAATTGTTATTGGTCAGTTGGACATGATGTTGTTCACAGCACTTAGAATCGAAATATTTCTAAGCATCTTGAAACAGATCAGTGAAACTAAGTATAAGACCTGTATGGCATGTGAAAAGTAAGAAGGGCAAATGACTTAATCATTGGAGAAAGAGAAAATAGGAAATCAAACTTGGGAGGTTTTAGGAACCTTTAAGCCTCAGATGCAACATGACATTTCTTTCCTTGCTGGAGTTAGTTCTGACAGCTGAGAGCTCAAGTCTTTTATCTTTTGGATCTTGCAGTATCAGTGCAAGAAAAATTCAGAAGTCACTTTTAAGTACTTTCAAGACTGTTACATTTGGCCGTGTATTCCTCTTTTTAACAGCTATATGTAAGCATTTACACAATTTGTGTTTGGCTTTTTTTTTTAATACTTCTGAACAATTACATACATAATGACATAATTTTCATTGAGCTGTTAGTACTACGGAGTAATTCTTTCCTTGGTCTCAGTCTACCTTCAGTTTTGCACACTGGTGTGCTTATGACATAGGAGTTATATAGGCCGCATTAAAAGGGGAAAGAGGAGATATTGATCCTTTCTCAAAAGCATTATATCAGTGCTATTCACTTTTTTCAGGGCTTCTTACCAGATCGCAGACTTCAGCTCCCACAATACGAACTCTATCGTCGAATTCGTTTTCTCAAAACATTCCAAGCTGTTTGTGGAAACTGGGCCGACTTAATCACGTAGCAATTGCAGTACCCGATTTGGAGAAAGCTCAGTCCTTGTATAAAGATGTGTTAGGAGCACAGGTGAGCGAGACTGTTGCTCTTCCCGAACATGGCGTCTACACTGTTTTTGTGGAGCTGGAAAATACAAAACTGGAACTTCTACATCCTTTAGGAGAGAAAAGTCCCATTGCAAGCTTTCTGCAAAAAAGCAAGACTGGAGGAATGCATCATATCTGCATTGAGGTACTTTAACACAACGTATCATATAATAAGATAGAGATATTGAAGTATGCATACTTTTTTCATAGGTTTGACCTGTGTCAAGTACAAATATGTAAGGCTGTCATACTTGTGAGAATTTATATTGCATAAGAAGAAGTCTTAAAAGTGCCTTTTTTCTGTGTTGGAAATCACAGTTCAATTTCATGAGCTATGTGATGATTTTTTCCTCTTTTATGCTATAAAGATTAAATTAGGGAGGGGAGGATTAAGCATCCAGTGTGGAAGGTGGACAAGCCCAAGCGCTTTTGAAGAGCGTGTGACAGGTGTCAACTTCCTGACATAGAAAGGACATACACTGGAAAAAGATGGAGCTGTAGGTTTAAGCTAAGGCATAGTTTAGATTTTCAGAAGTTTCTTCCTGTTTGATATCAACTAAAGTTGATAATTGTATACACAAATCAAAAAAGATTGTCAGTCGTACTTACCAAACAGCAGTAAAGTCTCCAGAGTTTCTTCTGTCCTGTTCTTCCTTGTCCATCAAAGAGAGATTGGTCTGGAAGTACACAAGATGTAAAGGTGCTGGGTAAAGTAGTTATCTTATTTAGTATACTCATGTTTTAGTGTAGATGTTTGATGCAAAACTTCATGCTGCTGCCCATGACACGTTTTCAATACTTTACAGATGAGTCTTCCAAGCTTTATTATTTAATGCAAAGTGTAATAATAAAATGGGATACTGTTGTAAGTAAAAATTGTTTTCAGAATACAACATAAAGACCAGTGTTTGCAGTTGCATGGCTTCATCGAGAATTGAGAAATTTTCCATACACACGCATTGCAATTTTTCTTCCATTGTTTGCCTATTTGCATTAATTTCCATTAATCGGGTGAGCTAGTGCTACTTGCAGCCAGATTTTCCTAAATGAAGTCTTGTAACTCACTAATAGATTCTCTATGCAAAAAACCAAACCAAAACAACAATTTCTTTAAGAAAAAGATTGTCCTAAGTCCCTCATGTTTGTCTCCACATAAAAACAAACGGAAGATTATAGACTAATTTACATGGAGAAAAAAGCAATGCATTGTTGACCTGGTGTTTAAGGGGGAATGAAAACAGATTTGGTCACTACCATAGTCAATCAAAAGATATTAACCTCCCTCCACCAATTTTCCATTCTCCTCAGAATGGAAAATCTTACAATTTCAGATACGTTATCTTCTGAAGTTGAGCAAAAATAGTTTTCAGAAAAACTATTAAAACTTCAGTGTCAATTGATTGTTCATTTGAAATTTAAAAAATATTTTGTAGAAATGTCTTTCTATGAACAATTTTATTGCAAAAAGCTGAATTGTAAAAATTCTTTCCATACTGGAGAGGAAGCCTGATAAGTTTATCAAAATGCTCTTCATTTCTTCCTTATGTCTTATTATTCAAAGGAAAATTTTAGACAGATGTTTTGATAGGGAATTTGCTTCAGACAGAATAAGCATTTTAAGAAAAAATTAAATTATTCCTGACCAACTATAACTGAGTTTAATACCTGCAATGAAAAGCATGGTGGACACTTGGTAGAATAAGAGAGAAATCCGAGCCTGATACTCTCCTAACATGGATGCATCCACCGGCTTTCCACTGTTTACTCTCACAGCTTCCTTGGGGATGCAGTAATTCATTCCAGCTGAGCCCAGACACAGTTCCTCTTCTGGCCATCTCTGCAGGACAGGAGTGGCAGCTGCAGTGGCTTTTCTGCTTGGGGAAACAACCTGGAGGGGGCTATGGCACACATTACATGTGCTGTTTTATTTTAGATAAAACTTGACAGTCATTTCTTTTTTTTTAGCAGACTGGTAGTTGTGTGTAGGAAGAACTGTAGTGAGTTCAGAATTTTCATGAACAAAACTGCTGCAAATGAGTAGCAATTAACTGATGTCTGTTCCTCTGAGTTCAAGCTAGGTATTTCCTTCTTCCCTACAATGGCATCATGCAAGTTTATTCACCAAGTTATGCCCAGACACTTCCGTCTTGAAAAACAGCAATGCTATTATTTTAATTCTAGGTCTTTATTGATTATTGAGTATTGGATTTACTAAATTGAGTGCTAATTTTATTATTCCAAAGAATGAATGCATTTAATGTTTGGGAAAATCCAAATTTCATCTGATGACATGACAGCAGACTTAAGATCACATTATACAGCATAGACATGTTTTTGTTAATTACGTATTTCTGCAGGAAACTGTACTGAAATATTATTTTAAAGGCTATTATTATAATTAAGTTCAATAGGAAAACCAGGTCATATTCCGGGTATGTTTCTGATCATTCCGAGGTTTTTCTTAGGAAACTTTACGAAGCTTAACCTGCTCAGGAGAAGGATATATAAATCTAAAAGGGACTTTCCTTTTACCTTCTGCCCGTTGCCCTCCCTTTTCACCAGCATCTAGTAAGTCAGTGTTCTGTCATCAATTAGACAGGGAGGCATTCTTCTTTAGTTATTGGTAGTTGGAAAGCAATATGATCTTCTTAGTAATAGTAATGCAGAGTTTAGCTTATTTATGGAGTCCTTATAAAGTAACAACATAAAAAAATCAATGGGCTTTGTGCGTGATTTTTGTTTAATAATTTCTTAAATATAGCACAATCTATTTAAACAATATTTTATAAAATCTTCAAGTAACAAATGCAAACTTCTGTGGGATTTTTATTTTTAAGACTAGATGTTTTAAAACTGTTTTATAATTTATTTTCAGAATTATATTAGAATTTAGAAGTAACATTTTAGTAAGGAATTATATTATTGCTCCTAAATGTAGAATCTACATAATACAGTGTACTATATTAATTTGTGTGAACTGTATTTTTCTTTTATAAGGTTGATGACATAAAAGCGGCTATGACAGAACTGAAGAAAAAAAAGATACGAATATTGAGTGAAGAGCCAAAAATAGGTGCACATGGCAAACCTGTGATTTTTCTTCACCCTAAAGATTGCCACGGAGTCCTTGTGGAACTTGAGCAAGCTTGAGCTGTAATATTCATAAATAAAACAACAGATTAGTTGTGAAGTTACTGAGCTGGTGCTGGGAATATTAATGTGGTATTCAGTCTTTACAAGTTCACTGTAGTTCCTGTAGATTAAGTACAGCTTTTGAATACTGAAATAGTACTACAGATTTAGGGTCGTTTTCTTTCTTGTTGTTGATCTGATTTTCAGAATTAGTATGTTGACATTTCTTGAATTCTTTGTGATTCTAAAGACAAATACATGAGCCAATATGTAACACAGTGATTTTATGTTCTGTTGCCTCATGTTTGCAGCATGGTTTTACCTCTGTAACCACAGAAACTGTATAGTTTCTAGGTCATCCCACATTATTTTGTTCTACATTTCAGAGCAGAGACCCACTTCTCAGTGACAATATAGCTTAGATATTCCCTTTAGAAATAAAGGAAAAAGGAACATTGTATTTTCTGTTCACCATTCACCGTCTGTGCTTCACACTGATTGATTGGTTCATGCAATAAAAAAATCCTTACGTTATTGTATGGGTGTCTGCAACCAGTAAATAAGTTTTCCTTGGCATAACAATTACTGCCAAGAAAGTTACCATGCATAAATCATCATTTAGTTGTTTTATGAACTCTGTGGATATGCAGGTAATGCGAGAAAAGTACCTGAAATGTATTTCAGACTGTAACATACTTGTCGCATTTTAGTTTTTTAAGGTATTGACTATTTGTTTTTCAAGCTTTATCCATGGGAAGATATTTGGGAGAGACCTGAACAAATAGTGATTAATCTTTTCACTTACTTTATAAATACTGTTTTCCTATGCAAAAGCACTTACAAAACCAGTAGAAAACACAAGCCGCGTAAGTCTTGGTTATGTACTTGGTTATGTACACTGTCTTTAACATCAGAGAGCACGCCAGCACACTTATGTTTCTGATAGGCTGCAGTCACAGTTTGTTGACTTACTCATGGACAGACTTGGCTTTACTGGTGTATGTTAAGCAAGCAGTGTTTGTCCTGATACTTTCTTTTATAGGTATGTTTTGACACGTCAGCTGTAGAAATTGAAGAGTTGCTGTTTCTCTCGCTAGTTTAATCCTTAGAAGTCGTATTTTTTCCTAGCTAAACCACAATCTGAATTTTGTATTTTCCTACATCTCTACATATATAGTGGATAGTCTCAGCTTGATATGAAGTAAGTTCATTTTGGTCTAGGAGAATTTTTACTTAATAGAAATGGAATTATTTGTGTTCTGTGTCACGTTTGCTCCAACAAAATACAAGTTATAATGTTGACCTGAGATTTAAACAGGGCTTTAAAGACATTGATGCTTCCTCATGAATTTTACTTCTGAAAAAAACTCCACAAAGCCATGCATTTTTTTTAAACGAGAGAGTTTTGTACTCAAAATAAATACTCCTTCCATCGTATTTTAAGAAAAATAGAGTCTTCCGCAGGGTTCTTGCATTTCATCAAATTACTGTTTATAGGGTAGTTTGTGATCTAAATTCTGAATTGCTTGAATTTAGAAATCCTAAGGCTCATGATGGAAAAGCAGGATGATTTGATATTCCTGAAATATGATTCTGCCGTTCTAGGAGACATTCTATTAGCAAAGCTGCTTTTGTCTTTCCATTCTTTCAAAGACGGGGAGGCATCTTGTCTGCAAAACTAGCATAGGAATGCCAAGACTAGAAGCCTCGCTGGTTACATGTCAAGATAATTGAACAGAAGTCTTTGAACCTAATACCCTTAGTTTGGTGCAACATAAAAAAGGGCAGTTCTCCCTAGGTTCATACTCCATTTCTTGGTCCTGTCTGAAGGAGATGGAATTTTGTGTATGACATCTATCAATACACTCAGAGTAGTAGCTTGATATAGTACTAGGGAATGGAGATTTTGAGTAAACAATACTTACTCCACTTGCCTCATTGTGCTCCCATTTTGAGTAAACAATACTTACTCCACTTGCCTCATTGTGCTCCCCATCCTATTAGCAGAAAGACTTGTAATGCTTTTAGCTAGTAACCAGCAATTTTCCTGACTGACTGCAGTGGGGTTGCCTAGCACTAAGTCAGCTGATGTATTTTGTTCATCATAACTAAGTCATGCTCTTATCTCACTCACAGTTTATACATTTCATCTGACCCCTCCTAAGGTGGAAGTCAAGATATTAACAAAGAAAAAGGAGAGTTTAGGTCTATAAAATTAGTCAATACCCAAAACTGGGGCATGCTTATTACAAGCTCTTACCATTTGGTGGGATCAGACCCCCTTACTTGTCTGGGTATGCGCTACAAGATATGGGCATTTCCACCTCTGGAGCTCTAGACTTGGAAGGAATAGCCAAGAGAGCTTGGACAGCTGAAGAATCTGAAGACAGCTAAGACGCACCGAGAGAAGTTTCCTGTTCATAAGCCTAACTCCCATAGACTTCAGTGGGAACAGGATCAGCCCCTATACTTGTAACAAACTTCTAGCCCTTCACCTTGAACAAGAGAGCCTTCACAACTCATTCTTTGTTCTGACTGTCTAAGGGTTTGGGGGGGGGGGTTAGATATTTGGGCCTTACCCTTTGTCACTGCCATGATTATAAAAGGGGAATAACATCAAGAAAAACAGTGGAAATTCAGGGATGGAAACTGGAGCAACAGAGAACTGTGATTTGTTTCTTCCAGTGGAGGGACATTTAATGATATACCCCTGTTGCACCAGTATACAACTTCTGGAAAGAACAATAGTGATTCAAATAACTGGAGCCTGATTAGCTCGGAAGGGAATTAGGCTTTGACAATGGGTATTTGTTTGGGTTTTTTTTTCCAAAGGTACAGTGAAACCTTCTTTTCTAATAATGTCAAGCTTTTCAGAAGATGAAGTGTTAATATTTTGTTGGTAAATTTTGTCACCCTTGGGTCATTTATCAAGTGCAAGTTCCCCATTCCAATTTCTCCATGTGCCTTTTTTCCCCTCTGAGCAGAAGCATGTTCTCATTTTATGCTGCCTAAGGCAGACAAGACACGTTTTTCTGGACTCCATCAACATTACTCAGGCAGCTAAAGGGTTCATAATTAAATGATGCAAAATACCTTTTTTGACTTCCTCTATGCAACCCTCAAATCTCTCCTAGGTGGGAGGAGGAGAAGAAGCTGCAGAATGAATCCCATTCAGTATGATGAAACAAACCTAGAAGCAAACTCAAAAAGCTGAGAAAAGAACTAACTACATGCCTTTAGAAGTTAACCTTACAGTTTTGCAAATCTGCAAAAACTCTGGTCCCATCATGCTTATACTGTAATTAATTCACCCGAATTAAAAAAAAAAAAAAAGCACTGGGTATTTAATTCTGAATTCAATTGCTTTCATTATTACCATATTTACTCAATTTATCACAAGTTTTGGAAGAATGTAGTGTATCATGATGCCACAGCTACAGTGCTTAATACAGTTAACACAGCCTGAAAATTTAGAAAGCTGTGAATGAATTACAAGAGGAACTGAAGATGGCACTTGCTTCTGCAGACCACTTCCTGGGTGGATAATACTTCTCTGTTTAACGCTGAGACTAGAGTTTACTTTCTTAATGCACATGCAGAAGCACTGCTGTCTATTGTTAAGGGCAGTCCTTGGATTTGGACTTTATTGCTAAGATAGATGAATGGAAGTTGGCGTGACCAAGGAAGTCTCATAGAAAGACCAGGAAACATGGACATGTTTACAATATCTAGTTGAGGTACTTACAGTAGGTGCTCTGAATCATTTCCTTGGTGCTTCATTTGATTCTCTCCTTACAAGAAATTCTTCCTGTAGTGATCTGACTTGGGTTTGTTGGACTCAAGAACCCTTAATTAAGAGAAAAAGCTAGAGTTAATTGTTTCAATAAACACTTGATTCTTTTACCAAAGCAGTTGTCATGCTGGCCAAATTATTAGACTGTGAAACAGAAGAAATCCCTAAAATGGTAGCCCTGGTGCTTCTCATAAGGGTGCTGGGTGGCACTAGACACAGAAAGGTAACCGACAGTTTAAACTTGGAACATTGAATCATATAAGATTAATATGGAAATGAAAACTAACAACAATACATAAATCAATTGGCCCAATGCTGACATTTTGAAATGGAAGACTTCACCTTCTTAGGAATACAAAATCTGTCACCTTTGATAAGCATTTTGAAAGCAGTTTGAACATTTTATGAAACATAAATTTATCTTATTGTGAAGGAGGGAGGTTTGCCTCCCAGGATGGTATAATCCTTAAATATCTATAAAATGATGTCATCTATCTAGTTTCATGTTCATTTGCACTGTCTTGCACATTGTTAAACAGCATTGTTAACTGCAAAGTTTATAGCATAGTTTTACAAGTAAGGAAGAGTTCTCTCTTAAACATTTTAAAGTAATGATACATTTTGAAGCACTTCATGACTTTTCTAGGTGTAATGTGAAGTGTAATCTAAAGCGATCTTTTAACTGTTATGCTTTGTTAACATAAAAATAGCACATAAGTACTAAAATCTTCTGTAAAATAGATCTTTAATGAAGATTTTTACTTATTTCTAACATTGCATTTTTTCAGTAATAAAGATAGGTTTAAACCATGATTTAAAAGAAAAGTTCTGAAGTAGCTAGTAACTGTGGGTACTCTGAAGGCATATGTGATGATGCACAGTTTGCATTAAATAGGGGGAATATCCTACTTCTGCATGTGTGGCTGGCTTGTATGGAAAAGATTATTTCCAGAAATTGAAGGGTAGTAGAGAGGTGCATTACTGGACTGAAATCATGCACCTTATTTTTACCTTCCATTTTGGTATGTAATTTTCTATAATAACCACCTGTCTGAGTCACTGCCTCCAAAATGAGGTGGAAGGAGAATGTTTGTTAGGAACTTAAATTTAGAAAATTAAAAAATACATCCCACTTCCTTTGGGACCCCTGCAGTCTTTGAGAGGTCAGTTGTAGTACAATACTTGCAGCTGCAGTAACTTCAAAACGAAAACACATATCTGCCCTGTCAAGCTGGGAATACTGCTTTTGGTATATTGATCGAGAAAGTGAAAACTTCCTTATATACATGACGCTATTTCATCAAGTTAACAATTTTGAGAATTAATAATATGAATTAAAACATGATTTGCCAAATGTTTAAACAACCCATCTACAGATTATCTATAAGTTCCTGTAGTTCTGTGTAAAACATACATGATTACAGTTTATATAATGTTTGAGTTCTCGTTATCTTCAAAAGATAACCAAATTCAGTCAGGTAATTAGGATATAGAAAGGGACAGATGAGAAAAGTCACCATAGAAAACCATGATAGAAAATAGCCTCTTAGTAGCAAATGGCTACTCTGTAGTTAGTGAATCTTAACAGAAATCTTAACAACTAAACAGAAAACAGGAATAAAAAAAACCACAAAATGGTGTTTCCATGAAGGGCCTTTGCATGTACATGGAATTTGAGTCGGTGCTAAGCAACCGGTATAACTACCCCAGGGCAAACAAAAGCACACCAAGTTGGACAT